GTCGTAGCGATTTCTGTTTTGAGCAGATGCCACACATGCTTTTGTGCGAGACAAAGCTTAATTGTTAGCAAGCGGTTCTCATGAATCCTTATGAATTATTATTATTATTGAAGTGAATTAATTTCTATGCGAGAGATCTTTTGCAATACGAAGTTAAACATAAGACATCTTTCGAATACATTTTGATCTTCAAGATGAAGCAAACTAAGGTTAACGATACAAAATCAAATAGGGAAAAATTAGGTAGGACCAATGTTGCCATCTTTGCGGCTATGTCAGAGGAAGTAGTCCCAAAATGCTGTTACCCTACACGGGAAATTTTAAAGCGGAACAATTGATTATTAATAAACTGTAAACAAATCGAAACACCATCAAAGAGTTTTTCCTCTTTGGCGTTGTTTCGATTTGTTTACAGTTTATTAGAAATCAATTTTGTTGATTGATTGATTGTTTTTTACGGCTTATCGACCCGTTGCGTGTTATTTAAAGCCAGAAAAATATTTTTAGATTGAAATATTTTCTATTATAGATAATAATGGTTTAGTGAATTGTCAGGTAAACCGGTGATTTTTGTTTTATTTTCTACGACAGAACAAGATCAGTCAGATAAGGTTTCGACCAAGACCTTCGATATCTCTTCCTTAAATCACACATTCCCCGGATCCTTCAATACAGCGGGAATTCAGAAAGTGTCATCGGAGTGACACCGTGAAATTCTCTGTGGACGATGAAAAAACCCGAATTCTTCCACTCAACTAATTGTTGTAGTGAGTTCGAACCTCACCAGTTCACCCCAATTTTGTATCTTTGTATCAGGCTAAACAAAGTTTGTAAATCTTGATCAGAGAAAATTTATTTGCGTGCTGACAATGGTTGTTATGAGGAAATCGAATGTAATGGCGTACCCTACATGTGTAACCCTGTGCTGTACAAGGTTCACAGTAGTAAATATCATAAAATATCTTGTCGTATCATGGTGATTTTCTATGCGTATCATAGATGTATCACAAAGCCGACTGTACCCACTGTGGATCGAACTCGCTATTCAGTCGTAATCGAATTAGCGAAGCAAGCTTGCTAACCATTACACTACGTCGTCGTTCTTGCGTTAGGAGTCTTGTAAATTTTCAACTGTGCGTTCTTTGACTGTGAAATGTTTAAATTAGCTATTTACAGAAAAAAATGCCGTTGAAAGTCTCTTCTGTCTGTATGTCTCTACTTTCTTTCTACTGCTTTGTATTAAGACAATAGAGATTGGCCCTCTGGCAGAATGATAATTTGGGAGAATAAAAAGAAACTTCATATTAAAAAGTCTGAATAATTTGGAAGTACTTCTCCAAAAGTAGTTCAGTTGAACATCAAATGAAATGTTCAATGTTTTTTTTTAACTTAAGTTACCTAAATATAGTTAGCATTAGCTGCCATATTGAATTTCTTTACGAAATAGAAGCGATCAGATTTTCATTCCATAACAGCATATGTTCTTTCTTTACATCTATCTATCTATCTATCTATCTATCTATCTATCTGTGACGTCCCCCGGTGTCGCTGCGCCAAATGTGACGTCTGCCTGGCCGCGCCCGCCGTGCTGTCCTGGTCGCGGCGCCAATTGTGACGTCACCCGTCTGTCTCCGTGCCGCCGCCGTCCTATCCTGTCCTGTGACGACCAATGTGACTTGGTATTGGTCGCGGCACCAAATGTGACATTCTAACCTTTTGCTGATTCGGATGGGAATCTGGTTAGATTCGGTATCAGCCTTGTCATTCCCAGCTCGACTCCAACGTCTGGTTACCGAAGTAACTGTTTTGATTTCTAGTCTAACCTACCCACGTTGTGATTTGATCTTAGGTAGACGAAATCAATCAGTCGCCGGGCCGTAATGCAAGTCGAGTCCGAACAAGAGTAATACCGCACAAGTATATGTAAAAGAAAATAAAGTAATAACTCGAAAAGTTCAAATGTGTTAAAAAGGAATAACAATATTTTATATCTGGTTGCTGAATACAGGACTGATCTTCCTCCCAAACCGATAATATGGATCGTGACACTTTGTGTTTGTTAGGCGAGTCTTAACATCTTAAATTGTTCTTTTAAGAAACTGGTTTTGGTGTATCTTCAGGCGATATTCATAAAACTTGTTTTGGTGGTGTGAGTCTAAGTCGTTCTTCAAAAATAAATTGTTCTTGGTTAGAAGTTGAGGTCGTGATTGCGTGGGATGTTAGTCAGCTTTCTGCGAGGCGGTCTCACTCTGCAACTCCAACCCAACTCAATTCAACTCAGCAGCGAACTGCCAACTGCCGTTTTACTCGTTTCGACTCTGCTTATATGGACGCCGACCAAAACCGGGGTCGGCCTGTCGGGGTTTGAGGTTCCTTGATAATTCTAAATCCACATTAAGGGTTTTCTTTGTTTTCGGTCAGGAAGATTTATTAATTTCCATTTTTGGAAGTCTTTACATTCTAGGGTAGGGAATCGTCCTCCCCCATTCTTCTTTTCTCATATGGGTATCTCATACCAATCCCTTCAGAGGTGACAGCGGGTTTCCCCTCTCTCTCACAGTGGCATCTCATACTGATCCCTTCAGGGGGCGTCAACAGGCCTCCCCTCCTTCTTCACATGATCACCTTCGCCTGCCGCTCACGCCACCATTCAGCCAATGAGCGCTCAGCAGTGTGGGTGTGGCTAGATTAGCCTCGGTTTAAAAAATCTTGCTTAAAGAAAAACAAATTATCTTCCTTTTTTTCTTTTTCTTTTCTTCTGACCGACAACAAACCAATACGACCCGTAGTGTGGTCCCTTAATCTCAATCTTATCCGAATGTCACCTGGAGTTCGTCACTCGAGACCTTCGCCAAACAAGTGGGTGGTCATCTGGCGATCTTGCACGCTACAGCCAATTATTCGTTTCGATAAAATAATTTTCCTATCATAGCCAGCTCCGACACAAAACAGATTTTTTTCTCAAATGATACCTCCGCACATAGTTAAGGGTTTAATCTTTCTTTCCTGGTACTCTGCGGGTGGTCCAGCGGACATTTTTCTCGCGACCCAATTAATTTTTATCTCTTAGAATTCTGCCCTGTAGGCCAACTGACCGACCTGAAATTTTCACCATTGCCATGGGCAGACTGCCACCTTCCACTCGGTGCGCCGTCATAAATCAAACGCGACAGATCCGCGACCTTACTTTCTTCGCTAATGAAAATAAAATCTTTACCACTTTTCCTTGTTAGAAAAAAATAACATCGTCTTTTCGTGATAGATTCTTATCACCTAATTTAATTCTCGCCTTTTTTATTTTTTTCCACGCAACCCTAAATAGTGTCACATATTTATCTATCTATCTATCTATCTATCTATCTATCTATCTATCTATCTATCTATCTATCTATCTCAGTTTGTTCACATCTATCTATCTATCTCAGTCTTTTCATATGTATCTATCTATCTATCTATCTCAGTCTGTTCACATCTATCTATCTATCTATCTATCTATCTCAGTTTGTTCACATCTATCTATCTATCTATCTATCTATCTATCTATCTATCTATCTATCTATCTCAGTCTTTTCATATCTATCTATCTATCTATGTCAGTCTGTTCACATCTATCTATCTATCTATCTATCTATCTATCTCAGTCTGTTCACATCTATCTATCTCTCTATCTATCTCAGTCTGTTCACATCTATCTATCTATCTATCTATCTATCTATCTATCTATCTATCTATCTATCTCAGTCTGTTCACATCTATCTATCTATCTATCTATCTATCTATCTATCTATCTATCTATCTATCTCAGTCTGTTCACATCTATCTATCTATCTATCTATCTATCTATCTATCTATCTATCTATCTATCTATCTATTTCGACCATCGGACGTAAACTGCGATGTCCCTTCAGAACGTGCGTGATCTTTTTTCTTTATTATCCGTGAATCACTGATTTTTGGGGAAAGATAGTGGAATGTCCCCCCGCTGACTTTTCCACGGATTGGAATTAATTTTTTTTCTTCTTTGTGTAGGCCTGTTGTTACTCAACGCTAGAGAAACCAGTTATCTCTGTTATTTAACCCATTGTTGAGGAGAGATGTTATGTATTCATGCCTTTCCCAAGAGCATTTGTGCGTAAGTCAGCACAAATGATGAGTCAGAATTTGACCCCCACTTGTTGCTGGCCGATTCCACTTTCCGTGACGATAACCTCAACATGACACACACATGTCGAAGGAGAGAGAGACAGACATAGAGACAGAGAAAAAAAGCAGATATGAATAGGTGGGGACAGTCATTCACTGGGAATTATGCAAGAGTCTTGCGTTCAGTCGTACAAACAAATGACGAAAAAGCAAACCATAAATTTAAGAATAAGAAACCAATCCAAAATAAAAAAGACCAGAATTAAATACTGCGGAAAAAATATGTCAAATTGTAGATTTTGCCATCCTAAATCATAACCGAAAAAAGAATGATAAGATAGAATTGTCTTTATAAGCAGAGCAGGAGAATACCCATCATCAATGGCATACTTGAAATTGATGCTGGAAAGAGAATGTTGAATAAGAATATACATAAAAAAAATTCAGCATCGAAACTTAGGAGAAAGGAAGAGAAGGAATTTTGTCATCTGAAGCGACTTGGTATCACGTGATGTCTGAGTATGACCATCAGATACCTCCCGTGTAAGCGTAAGAAAATAATCTTATTATAGGATTTTCCAAGTAGAACTGTATATTGTATATATGTCATGTACCCTTTAAAGATCTTATTTTGAAGCTAATTTGACTACAGGAAATGGATATCAGTTTGGTCAATGGCGTATCCAGGCCCAGCAGTACATGGACTAATGTTATATCTCGTGCATGATTTTAAACTTTGCTTTAAAATAAGGTCTTTAAAAGTCACATGACACGCGATTATATACGGTTCTTTGTCTAATAACACTAGCCACACATTTTTGGCGCCTAAATATTGGGAGTTGTTTTGAATTAATTTGATGCCTTCTTCTTCTCTTTCTCATCACCCTCCTTCTCCTCCTCATCCTTCTCCTTCTTCTCCTCTACCACGCCTTCTTCTTCTCCTTCTTCTTCTTCTTCCTCTTCTTCTTCTTCCTTCTCCTTCTTCTTCCTCTTCTTCTTCTTCCTTCTCTTCCTCATCCTCCTTCTTTTTCTTCTCTACCATCTCCTCCTCCTTCTTCTTCTTCTTCTTCTCCTTCTTCTTCTTCCTCTTCTTCTTCTTCTTCTCCTTCTTCTTCTTCCTCTTCTTCTTCTTCTTCCTTCTCCTCCTCATCCTCCTTCTTATTCTTCCTTCACCTCCTCATCCTCCTTCTTTTTCTTCTCTACCATCTCCTCCTTCTTCTTCTTCTTCTTCTCTACCACCACCACCACCACCACCACCTTCTTCTTCTTCTTCTTCTCTACCAACTCCTCCTCCGTCTTTTCCTCCGTCTCCTCCTCATCTTCTTCCTCCTTCTCCTCCTTCTTTTCCTCCACTATCATCATCTTTTTCTTCTAAATGCCGTGTCACTTCAAAACGTGTGCGATCACTGCTCTCCACAACCTCCTATTCAGTGGCCCGAAGCTAAATTTCCAGAAACTGGTTCTATAAAGGCAAGTAATCTTTACGAACCTATTCTGATTATTTTAATTTCAACCTGAGAATGAAAACAAATCACTTCATAGATATCCAAAAGAATTTACATTTTGATAATTTAATTAAAAAAAACGCATTTATTTATTAAGATATTTCCAGACTGAAATTGTGTTTTCAGAAGATTTGTTAACTTCGAAACGGTAAAGGAGCGTGTGCCTATTAGAGTTTCACTAGGCGCAAGCATAGCGTATTTAACATTGTACTCAGGCCTTCAGCTATTAATATATTAGATTATTTTCGAATAACCCAACAACTTGTTCACTAAGCTTTTATAATTTTAATAACTGGTATTATGCTATCACTGCTCCTATCCCTTTTAGCCCTTCGCAAATTTTTATCTTTGTCAATATTTTCTTAACTTGATCCGTTATTTATTCCCACAAGCTTGCTAGGTAAATGACCCGCTGCTTTCCCCTGCCCCGCGTTCTCTCGAGTATGTCATGTGAGTTTCATATTCTCCAAATCGCCTTTTCTCATTATATGTCCCGGGAATTTCAGCTGTATCTTTCCTATTCTGAGCAAAAGCGTCCTTTCTGTTTCCATTTTCCTTAAGACTTCTTCGTTGCTTACGCGCTCCATTCATGGTATTCTCAGCATCCTGCTGTAGAGCTATAGTTCTCTTTCCTCCAGTTTTCGCTTCATCTGTGAGGATATTGTTCAGCATTCACTGCAATACAAGAGGGTTGATATCGCGTAACAATTCAGCAGCCTTTTCTTCGTTCTTTTGTCTTTCTTTGTACTTGGTGTCACTGGTCCATCTTTGCTTGTCATATTAATTTTTTACTTTACTGCACGCTCTTCTTTTGGGATACACAATGTAAATTGCCTGGTAATTATGGTTTACAAAATCCTTTCAATCTTGTTCAAGGCAATGCTGCCTGATGCCATATCTGATATTCAGTGATATGACATAATATATAATTAAGATACATTTCCTCCCACTCTGGCGACGGTGACAGTGATGGCTATGAAGGCCCAGCCTAAATCCTGAAGAGTCTTGAACAGGACAGAGGAGTGTGGGTGGTTTGAGGGATAGCGGAGTGCAGCGAGCCACATACATACGGGCTTGTGTGAATGGATGGCAGAACTGGAGTTGATTGTCTTAGCAATGAGAGAAAAACTTCAAAGAGTCACATGGCATAAGAATTTGCAGAAAGCCATGATCGCCCATTCTCTGAAGAGACGAGACCATCACCCAATCTTTCCACTTATGGGCCAATGATTATCTCATAGTACGTCTCGATTATCGTCCATGTCGGTGAGGACGAAAAACTAGGAAAAATCCGTTGCACGTTCGCAAGGACACAGTAGATAAAAACAAACGCTACGTCGAGAAATGATGACTCGAACACTATTGTCCACAATATAACATAGACGTTTTATTCAGGGCTTTGTTTGATTAGTCTAAGTGGGTAGGTAAGTTACACTTTGGACAACTTTACTATTTTGAACAAAGCTCTACTCTTCCCGTTGACTCTTCTCCTTACCTCCTCTATGCTTATCTCAACACCACGAGGCATGACTGGTAACACGAACAGACGACATCGGAACTCCGCCAAGCATAGTCTATCCCCGCCAAGAGCGGACTAGAAATGATTTCCTCGATCCCAACTGTCACGCTTAATATAGACCAGAAACCGGATACGCCTTATGTTCGGTTTCGTTGTCATTTGATCTTAAATGCCCTTATTCCCTCATTTACTCTTCCGTTCCTTATCGGTTAAAGTGAATTCCAATTAGAAGATTTTAAAGAACCCATCTACTGGCTATAAAACAAATACTTGAGGTCGAGATAAAATCATAGTTTTCTTCCACGCGGGTGTCATCAGCATAGTGTCACACTGCCTGACCAAATTTTCGGCATGACTTTCCCTTAGCCCCACTATCTCACAAGTACAGGAAACATGGACATTTTGTATATCCGCCTGGTTGACTAAGCACAAAATTAACCCTTTGCAAATCGACGCAGTCCTGGGTATGACGATAAACTACATCCGACAGCAATGCCTCTGATCGGGAGATAGAAGGTTTTGAGGAGCGTGGAACTACCTCTTAATTACTGTTAGGGTCACAGCCGTGGGCAAATAGAAAACCCCCAGACAAAAAAAAAATGCACCATGAATGTATAAAAAATTATATTTTTATATTATAAATTACAAATAACTATTTATAGTAGCATAAACAACAATACCGATTTATAGTAAAATTACCAACAATACATATTTATACTAAAATTACCAACAATACATACTCATACGAAAATTACAAACAATGCATATTTATACTAAAATTAAAAACAATACATATTTATACTAAAATTAAGAACAATACATATTTATACTAAAATTATAAACAAAACATATTTATACTAAAATTACAAACAATACATATTTATACTAAATTTACCAACAATACATATTTATACTAAAATTAAGAACAATACATATTTATACTAAAATTATAAACAATACATATTTATACTAAAATTACCAACAATACATATTTATCATAAAATTACCAACAATACATATTTATACTAAATTTACCAACAATACATATTTATACTAAAATTAAGAACAATACATATTTATACTAAAATTACAAACAATACATATTTATACTAAATTTACAAACAATACCGATTTATTATAGTAAGATTAACAGAATTACATATATATAATAATATTACCAATATATGTTCAGAGTAGATTTACCACCAATACATTTCTAATGCAAAATGACCAATAATATATTTTATTTATTGTTGAAATCATAACATTTTGTTCAAAATATTTAGATTTCGCTATTAAATAATTCACAGAGATGTTGATATGCTGCTGAACAAAATCAACTCACCAACAAATCTAAGTACGTCATCCAGTTTTGTTCATTTAAGTAAATTGATATCGTTTATTTGTTTATACCCCTCTTTGCTTTGTACAGGGTAACTAATAGGACATGCACCAAATTGATTTCTATTACAGATTAATAAACACTTTCGGCTCTACTTTGAAATATCTAAAGCAACCGTCGTCCGTTTCAGTTATATAGTATGACATCCATTGCATTCAGCAACCTTGACACGTCATGACAGTAGACAGTAAGTAATGTCAAGTTATTTTTATATGTTCCAATAAAATGTTAGCTATCCATGTTGATTTTTTACTAATATAGTCCAATCCTCACCAAGTAGCTCACTTAGTGCAGGACTAAGATACACAGTAAATATTTACGATAATTTTAAAATCTTCCCGTCAGGCTGGACTAGGAGGCAAGGTTTTTCTAGAACTAAGAGCAGGGATTTATTATATTTGACAACACGTTCCAACCTGCCTCTTTTGTGTGCACAAATCCCATTGCCATATTTTCGCTAGTTTTGCCAAAAAAATGTTTTTAAAGAACGATATGAAGTGTAATATACTTGATGAAACATTGAATTGGAAACGATGCGCAAAAGTCCCTACGGATTTATTTTGAAGTGCCAAAAGCAAATCCGGCGATGAAGCATTGAACATTTATGTATTCATGTGTGGGAAGAACGTCTTCAAGTTTGTCAACAAAATAATGCATTTTTCACCTCTTTAGTGTCGAGGGTCGTTAATTCCAAAAGCTTTCGTGAGGAGAGATGCTAACGTTATCGAATATTTATAAGATTATATAGTATAAAATTACATAATATTATTCATTTCTCATTGTCTCAATATAGTTACATAAAAGCACATTTCATCATATTGAAATTGCTCTAGCCTATGTCTACATTCGTTTGAAAATATTTTCCGATGTCACGGATAAAACTTATTTTTTTTTATGCACTGACCGTTCGTGGCGATTCACCATAATATTTTTTCGGATCTCAGTACAGTATATTCGCAAATTAATTTCTGTACGTAATTTGTTAAATAAATTCATCAGCTAAATCATTAATTAGAAATGAAGAAGATTATGTAGCAACAGAAATTTGAATTCGATCTCTGTTTCATAAAATAAATATGGACAATGTTTCATAAAATAAATATGGACATTTTTTTTTCTGGTTTTCTTTTTATCTCATTCACCCAACCAAGGCAATAAAGCCACTAAAACACAAGAAGTTACTGCTTGTGAAAGAATTTTACAAACAGCAAAACATTATGAAGGAGCAGAACAATAGAAGAGTAATCAAGAGGACAGTAGATAACGATTGACATTATGTTTAAATTCTTGAAGATCAAAGTTGTCCTGAAAACATGGAGCCGAAAGAGAGTTTCACAAGCAAGAAGTGCGAGAAAAGGAACTGTTATTATAGAACTTACAGTTAAATATAGACGATTCAACTGTAAATTAATGAGACCTTGTTAACAATCTAGTACTGAGCTTAAATGTTTAGGTACCATAGCGAAGAGTTCAGCAGAGAAATTACATGAACGGATTTGTAGAAAAAGCACAGAGAAGCAACTTTATGGTGGTTGGAAAGTGACTGAATTCATTTAATCTACAAAACCATTTTATTATAAGTATTGGATATTATTATTATCCAATATTATATTGGATTATTATGTGTATTGGATATTGTTGCCTAAATCTGGTCAAAACTTGATTTAATTTTAGAAGTATTATTTTAATATAATTCAATTTTAAAAATATTAATCAAAGTTCTATTTTTTTCTATTTCTTTTTTAGCTACAAACATAGAGTGTCTAGAAACTCAAGGGGAAAATTGGGGACTTATTGTCTTTCTATATAATTCTTTAAAATCTCACCTTTCTGGACATACGGAAAAAGAAAGAGAGTTTCTTGAAAAAAACGTCTGCAAACATTGACATGATGATAGTGAATAATTATGGAAAAGGTTGCACATGACTTAAGTATAACACGTGTAGATCTGATAGCATTTCTAGAGAGAAAGAAAAAAATAAGATAACATTAATGGGAGTCCTTACAGTGGTAACCAGT